TCTTCTTCTTTCTTGGTTAATATGGATTTAGATCTGGAGACCAAATACATTTGAGTCCAAATTCATATTAACCAAATCTTAAAGTAGGAATTGATCCCCTTCAATGGTCTTGTAAGAATCTCTTCAAGCTAGGGGCGATAAAAAATATATCGATACCTCTCCGCCAGTGCCCACCTAGGCCACGAGCACCATCGCCGGTGACACGAGGAGGACACGTGGGAACACATATGTTTAGCGAGTACCATCCTAGGGAAACTCGGGAAACCACGAGGACATGTGGCACCCTCGGGTACTCGGCAAACACGAGGGCTCTTTCTCGAGTGTTTGCCCACACGTACCCAAATGCACGCGACATTGCATAGAGTGTGCCCGACTGGGTCGGCCCATTGTGGTGCACTGTGAATGTGAGGGTGAAAATTACAAAAAGGCTAGCGTGCTATCACTAGGAATCGAACCCGCGACTACCTACAGATGCGTCCTCTATGCTATCCACTAAGACCTAAGGACTATTACGACAGACATACAACGCAAAACTTAAAGAACTAATGGTAGTATCAGACATGACACTTTTTAAAAAAATCCCGAACAATTGTCCAAAATTACAGCAACTTTTTGAACTCACAAACAATTTTTTACAAACCAGAACTATTTTCTGAAATTGTGAACAAAATTTGAAATTCCAGAACTTTCTTCGAAAAAGGAAATAATTTTTCGTAGCGTGATTTTTTCTAAAAAAATTGAGAATAAATTTTGAAACGAAGAACAATTTTAAAATCCCAATTTTTTGAAAACAAGAACGTTTTTTGAATACATGAACAAAATTTTGGAAACTGGAACATTTTTTGAAATCTTCGAACATTTTGGAAACACAAACAAATTTTGAATATTTCACACATTTTTTAATAATTTGAAAAAATGAGAAGAAAAAGAAAAATAGATAGAAAAAAGAAAGACAAAAGACAAAAAAAATAAAAGGAAAAACAAAAAAAGGAAAGAAGAAGGAAAAAACCAGAGAATTCGGCTTGGAACCTTCTCGAGGGTTCCAAAAACCAACCAAGAACCATCCAGAAGGTTTCCAAAACGGGAAATTGATCGCGCAAAAAAAGTTAACTGGACCGGCCCATATGTACCGTCGAAGGTATGCGATACGTCGACAACTTGTCGCATAATGCGGCAAATAAGGTTTTCCCCTATAGCATGTGCCATGCGCTTCTGCGGCACAGCGCCCCTCACGGCTTCGGATCGATCAGATCGACCTAGTTCCTGGCCGACTGACTGACTTAGTGCTTGTGCGGGCCTGCTACTGCAACTCGCCGATCGCGATCCTGCTGCTTCCAATTCCTCTTTATCCCCTCGATCAATTCACACAACCTCTGAATATAACCTATCTCTGATATCACTTACGACACCAAGATTTGTTAACGATGTTCACCAACATGGCCACATCCCTGGGACATGACTACGAGCGGTCCTTTCCATGACACCATCACAATACCACACACTGGCAATCCATACGCAGGCACACACCATCGGCTCCCCTGTGTACCTGTGCTATTTTTTTGAGGAAGTACCGGTGCTATCATGTTGGCATATGTTACATCGTATGTCTACACACATTATATGAGGTCTAAGATACAAGTATCCTATTAGGACACACTCCATATCCTATCTAAACCAATACGACTCGGAGTCCAACTGCAACCTGCCTTGTACATAATATTCTACACAATTCCAATAGAATGTGTGCTGCCATCTCATGTAGAGGGGTCCTGAAAGCTACCTGCGTGCAAGCTTCCACAATCAGATATCAGTGCTTTTGTTCTTTCCTCGGTTTAGGGCATGACCAATGCATCGCCCCAACGAGGTGCCCCGCAGGCCAACTAGGCTCAGGTGTCAGGAATTGCTGCCTCGCAGGGTACTAGTGTCGCCTGTAGAAGAGGCGGATGCTTCTTGGAAAAAGCTAGAGAAAAAGGAAAAAGGAAGGGATTAGCAGTAGCCCAGTGTTTGTCTCCTGGTAGATGCGTGTGTGAACGAGGAAGGAAAAGTGAAATGGACAGGAATGTAAGAGAGAGCGAGAAACATGAGACCCACTGGCTACTGCTGCTTCTATTGGGTAATAGGTGTACAAAATGATGGTTTCACAGATACAAGCCAATATGAAGGCCATGAGAGATGAGACCATCGTCTAGTAATGCCTCCATGGTTCATGCCCCAGTTAGTTCGTCGGCGCTATCTGCAAAAGGAGTCGCTTCATTTTTTGAGCCGAATAAGGAGCCCACTTTGGATCCAAGAAACTAGAAAGACTATACAGTTAGGGGAAAAAAGCCAAAACCACTAGTCCGTGATTTTATATGATGCTAGCGGGGACTCAGTACTTTGTTCAGTGTGGCAAATGTTCAGACTGACAAATGGATATGGCCATCTCTTTACGAACTGTTACATGCATCTGACCGAGAGTGATTGTTGCAGATCGATGCTGGCCACTTGTTATATATGATAAAGCGAAGTTTCAGCCTGCGAAAACCCTAACCATTCAACCGGGTTAAACGGTGCAGTTTCATGAAGTTGCGTGTTCTACAGCAGATGGCATGATCTCTACAACATACTGTCTCTACGCACTCTGGTGTATTGACTTCCTTCACCTGCTACGCACTCTGGTGTCTCCTTCAAGCCGGGTGTGAGATCGCAGCAAAGTACAAAGAAAGGGGTGGACTTAAATATGCCGGGAAAATCGAGAAAGTAGTTTCTGCTCTCATCGTTTCCCCCCTCTCTATTGTAATTCTGAGGGGATTACTAAGATCTACTCTGCTCTGTGTTCTGCACATTCTTTTGCACTGGATTACGGGTAATTAACATGACAACTCTCTTTTCTCCAACAAAAAGGAAATGTCAATTCTTCTCTGAAAGGAGCTTCTCCTACAACGGAAGGGATTAGCTCCCGTGCCACCTGCTCTGCTCTAGGAGGTGCCATCTCCCCTGCGTAGGAGCCATGGACTTGGTTGTTCCAACAAATGACAGTTAAGGTTGAGAGACAGAGTTTGCACACAGTCGGTTAGTTTCTTGCAGTTACTGCCATCTTCCTGTTGTAAACACTTCAGAATAAGGCAAAGCTTTTGCCAGCGCTTCAAAAAGATATAAGTATATATTCACATACAGAAGAAAATACAACCTCCGTCCCACAATATAAGATCGTTTTTGAAGCTGACAATCTTTCATTTGACAAGATTATGTCTAAAAGTTTGAAAACACGAGAGAATAAAGATTCACTTTCAGAATTACAAGGTTGTACAGTTCCCATCAAATCCAACTTATGTACACAGGCTTAAAAGAGTTAACTACCCCACCCAGCAATTAACACGACACCAAGGGGTTTATGTACACAAGGTTGGAAGCTTACTAGGTCTGGAGACTTCACAGTCAAGTTGATGTATATCGATGTCATCAATTCTAGTGTTATCCCAAGTTCCAAACACGTTTGGAAAGTCAAAGTCCCTTTGAAGATTAAAGTTTTTATGTGGTTTGTGCATAAACAAGTAATTTTAACAAAGGATAATTTGATTAAGCGCAACTGGACAGGATCTACTAGGTGTAGTTTCTGTGATCGATCAAGCACCTCTTTTTTGACTGCCCGTTGGCGAGAGTCTTGTAGCGCACCATGCAAATTGCCTTTAACATTACTCCTCCGAATTCGGTCTGTACGTTATTTGGAACGTGGCTTGTTGGGATAGAGTCCGAAACAGCTAGACACATTCGTGTAGGAGTATGCGCGTTGTTATAGGCAATTTGGAACTGCAGGAATGATTTGGCTTTTAACAGAAAAACAACTATTCATTTCTTGCAGGTTTTTTTCCGGGCTACTGCGTTGATCCGTATGTGGTCCTTACTCACTCCGACAGAGGCCAGGGAGCGTTTGGTTACTGGATCTGTCCGGTGGGAGATGGTAGCGTGGGATATCTTCAACCGATTTGGATGACGGTCATGTACTAGGATAGGCAATTAGTTTCCCTATCTTGTGTTACGCCAGCCGGTTGTGGCTTTTGGGTCTTTCGTTTTTGGTGTTGTGGCTCTGAGTGAGCTGGCCGTTTTCTATTTTGCTTTGAGACATTAAGACCTTGTTGAACCTCCCTTTTATTTATATATGTGGCCGTATGCATTGTTCAGATGCAGATGCCGAGGTGTCCCCCTTTTTGAAAAAAAAGAAAAAGAAAAAAAATATTAGTAAGCAAGAATTAAGCCTAAATCCAGCAATTAACACGATACGTACAGTGTACAGAATTAGAAGGTTGTATGCAATTGAAAAAACGAGAGAATAAAGATTCACTTTTAGAATTATAAGGTTTTATGTAGGGGTGCAGGGCGGCACCCGAATCCGGCCAGCTTCTTATTCAAAGCTAAAAAAGTCAGTTATAGAAAAATTAAACTACGTCACATCAATTTGTACTAGCTGTGTGCTAGCTGGCTGTTTTTGCGGGATTTTGCGGGACGCCGTCCTGCACCCCTAGTTTTATGTACAGTTCCCGTCCGATCCCACTAAATGTTTTAATGTTTGAATAAAGGAGAGAATAAAGATTCACTTTCAGAATTACAAGGTTGTCCAGTTCCCGTCTAATCCCACTTATGTACATAGGCTTAAAAGTGTTGACTACCTCACCCAGCAATTAACACGACACCAAGGGTTTTAGGTTAAGTAAGCAAGCACGAACGTACTAGACCAAACGCAGCATGAATCCTAGGATTACCTTTTTCAAGGCGATTAGGAGGAGCATTCACTAATTCATTAATCATCAGGATTGCAGCCATTACAAGAAAAATAGAGATGTTGATCCATAACCACCATTAGCTGTCAAAACAAAGATCTAGCAGACACATTGGCAGTACAACCACAACAGGAAAAGTTAAAGACATTCGTGGCAAGCGCCTTAATCAGCTGCCCCTTTTCACTTCTCCGGCAGGACTATGAAAGATAGACATAGTACGATTCTTGCAGAAATTATGCTCTGCTATGAACTACGTATGACGGAAGGGTGGTTCGGGTGCATCAGCAAGGCCTCCTTGAATGCATCCTCAGCCTCTTTCAACCTGTCCACGGAATCCTTACTAATGCAGACCGCATGCACTTGGATCTCCTGGAGGTGTAACAAGTGCTCCATGCCGACTGATACAGTACCGCCCCAGTTGGACGCACTGAACCAGAGTGTTTGTAAACTGGGCATAGCACCTGCCTCGAAGCCCAGGTACGCTGTAGTGTCTTTCCTAGACCACAAATTTAGGAACTCCAGAACTGGGAATAGCCCCGTGCCTAACATAGCTCTTTGCCCAGGGATTTCACATGCTCTGAATTCGAGGCGGACAAGAGAGGGAAGCTCTCCAAGCAGATGAACATCCTGAGTTGATGTCATTTCAACATACAGCTTAAGGTTGCGCAGGCAATGGAGACCACACAACCATTTTGGAACTCTCCATAACCGCCAAAAAGACAATTCAAGATGCTCAATATGTCGAAAAGGATTGGATAATGAGCCCAGCTGCTGGCTATCCTCACGCTCAACATGAATGCCAGAGATGAATAGAGATTCAAGATTACATAGTTTTCCAATGGAGCAAGCCAAAGCATCAACTTTTGTCAACCCCATCAACATTTCCAATGAACCTACTGACATACACAGTTCCTTCAGATTGGTCAGCTCGCTAAGACCCATAAAACACTCCAGCGAGCTCTTTTCCATGTCAAGCCCTCGCAGAGTGCGCAGTAATTTCATATTCCCGATACCTTCAGGAAACTTTGTCCCAGGTGGAAGTAGCAGATAGGACAAGCGGGGCAAATTAACTATGTCTGAGGGGATGCTCTCCATCAGTCTGCAAGTTTCTATGTCCAGTGTCTCCAAGTAAACAAGCTCTCCAAGTTTAGTAGGGAGCTTTATCTTCCCATCAGAACTTACCATCAGACACCTCAGCTGAAACAATTGGCTAACAGCGGTGAGGTCAATCATCCCCCACCTGTTATAAATGATTAGCACCCTGAGGTACTTGAACCACAAAAGAGGGAGTATAGGCTTATTGAACAGTAATGACCGAACTTGTGACAGCCTAGCAGCAATAGCCGTGTCATATGTTGCTCCACCAACAGCCATGGAGCTCAGGGATAGTCGGCGAACCTTGTTTTTGCAGCGATGCAGTAGTCTCGCGATGTCCTCAGAATTGTATGCCAGACTTATAAAATTATCTTCTACACACTTGCATAGGATCAAATCAAGCATCATGTCATGTACTGTGCAAGACAACACCTCTCCATAGCTAGTTTTGCATGGCTGAATCATGCTTCTGTTGACGAGCTCATTAAAATAACTCCTGCCAACATCCTCCAAATCTGGCCCATGCAAACTGCTGACGAAGCCTTCAGCTATCCATTGTTTAACCAGCTGATCCCGCCTTATGATGTGGTCCTCAGCATACATACCAAGGTACAAAAAACATGCCCGGAGATGAAGAGGAAGATGTGTGTAGCTAAGGTTTAATATATTTTGTATGTCTTTCAATGAAGGATTTGGGGCAGATTGGACACGCAAAGATTTTCTTATGCTCTCCCAGTGTTTCATTGATCTCACCTGAGTAGCTAATAGGCTAGCTATAGTGATTATTGCAAGCGGCAATCCTCCACACTTCTTCAGAATTTCAGCCGTGACATCTTTAAGATAGGGTGGACAAACAATTTCAGCCCCAAATACTCTATTCGAGAATAACATTCTAGAGTTTTCTTCATTGAGAGGCTTCATTGTGTAAATGCATTCACGGTCACAGCGACATGCCACACTAGCCACATCTTCCACTCGTGTGGTTACTAATACTCTGCTCCCATTACCATTATCTGGAAAAGCACAACTAATAGTATTCCATGCTGATTGATCCCACAAGTCATCAACTACAATAAGGTACCTATTGAAATGCTTGCACATGTTATATTATTGCAGAATATGACTGTAAGTTGAAGAAAGAAACATAAAAAATTAAAACGAACTAGATGCAAGAAAATTTGTTGCTCATATGGCTGAATTAGCATGATCACATAATATTCAAGCCTGAATAATAATGCCTGGTCGAAGAACATTCATTGTCATTTAGCCGCTTTATGCCTGTAATTTCTAGCCACCTAGCATTTCTTTTCCTACGAGACTTGTATTCAGTCTTGCCTACCCACCCCTTAGCAATTTATTACAGTGAATGAAAAAATGTACAAAACTAAAACCAAATTTTCCAGAGATATATTTTTGCTCTACTATTTTCTTTATAGTTTTGAATCTCACAAATGAACAAACAGGAAAATAATCAAACTTCCCACATGTATCGAGAAACAATCATATCTAGAATATCACTGATCAATTACTTGTTACTTCAAATTTAAGATGAGTAGCCAATGCAAGTGACTATCAGAATTTAGTAATTACCTTTTATTTGCAAGATACTTCCTTAGCTCTTCAATGATGTCGTCAAATCCGTGATCGTTAGAAGACTCATATATCCCAAATTTCAATTTTAGGCGATTGAGAAGTACTCTCATATCAGGCCTCAGTGAAATTGAAATGAATGCTACACAATCAAAATTTTGCCTGATCTTGTCATACACCTGTTTGGCAAGTGTAGTTTTACCCAGACCTCCAAAACCCACAATAGAAACAACCTTGAGTTTTTCCTGAGTATCCATCAACCAATTGGAAACCACCTCCATTGGGCCGTCAATGCCCACAAGGCTGATTGCCTCCTGGTAGATCGCGGGAAGCCGAGGGTCGACAGCTACAAAACCATAGCTAGCCTTGCAATTATCAATCTTGTAACTCTCACATCGAGCATTTGATTGTACCGCAAGAGTCCTAAGCTCTTCCATCTGGTTGGAAATCTGATGAAGCTCGCACAACCTCTTGTGAAGTTCAACATCCTCCCAGAAAAAGCCTACCTCAACATCCTCACCTCCAAATTGGCGGTTGAAGTCATCAATGCAATTCTCCATGTCATAGGAAATCTCCCTGAGATCATCCCTCCAATTTTTTGCCCCTGGAGCGAGCTCATTCATGAGCTCTGGCAGCTCAAGAGTAGCATTTATGGCACTCAACTCCTTCTGCAGGAATGACGCCTGCTTCCTCACCTCTTTGCGCTTATTGTACTCGTCGCTGATGGAAGTGGTAAGCTTGCCACTGAGGGTGCTCATCACCCCGGTCGCCACACTCATGGTTGATGCCCTCCTCTTCTTCTGTTGGCTCACTTTGCCATCCTCCTGCTCCACCTCCAGCGATGATGGTTGAAGTTGGAATGGTGCAACATAATCATCCATCAACTTTAGTTCATCCGCCAGCTTGGAGAAGCTTATCTGCAAAAAAATAATTTAAACAAGATTAGGACAAATCACTACATAGCACATATTGTACTAGACGCCAATGAATGTGGTAAGCTTGCCACCCAGGGTTCTCAACACCACAGTAGGCAAACTCATGGTTGATGCCTTTCTCTTATTCTCTTGTCTCACCTTGCCATCCTCCTTGTCCACCTCTAGTCCCGATGGTTGCAGTTGGGATGGTGTGGTAGAATTATCCATCAGCTTGCCACTAGCGACCGAATTATCTATCAACTTCAGCTCATCCGCTAGCTTGGAGAAGCTTATCTGCAATAAAAATGAAAACATGTTTAGGAGAAATCGCTAAATAACGTGTATTGTACTCGTTGCCCATGAACGTGGTAAGCTTGCCATGGAGGATGCTCATCACCCTAGTCGCCACACTCACGTTTGATGCCTTCCTCTTCCTCTCCTGGCTCAATTTTCCATCGTCCTGCTCCACATCCAACGTAGATGGTGGCAGTTTGGGTGGAGCAACAGCAGAATCATCCATTAATTTCAACTCATCCGCCACCTTAGAGTGAATGCTTGTCTGCAACAAAAATGAAAAAAATGGCCATGACACATCACTAAATAACTACTGGTAGATCATATACATTTACTATTGAGTGATTGTACCTGCACTTCTGTTGAGGTACCTACATCACTTGTAACAGGCCAATTCAAAATTTCCACGTCACCCAGTATTCCACGGATGATAAACCATGTAGCCGGCCTTTTCCCTGGGTAATAGTTTTTACATTCTATCCCTATCTGGGCACATGCCTTTACTTGTTCCAATGATGTGTGACTATTTGATGTCCCAAACATGTCCGTCCAACTTTCAACTACCTGCAATTTGATAACCATGGCTAGTTATAAAGAAGGACGACATGCATTTACAACAGAAAAACAAAAAGACACAGCCGTATTGATTAGGACCAGAGACCAAATGTAAGGATAACTATCACAACAATTTTGAATTTCTCACTTGATTAATTTTGTGTTATTAATCTTTTGATGCACATAATGACTTTAGGAATCAAAATCAGCTTTATTTTACTTTATGTTTTGGGTGGAAGATCGCTGCAAAGACAACATTCAGATCTTATCATTTGCAAATTCTAATGTTAATTAGATACACTAATTGAATATACGTTGTATTTTTTTCCAACAAGATTGTGGTTTCTTCTAAACATGTTGTCTACAATTTTTTCTTGTTGAAACTTCACATACAATATAATTACCTCCTTAACACTGGAACACTCCTTATGTCCCATAAGGATCTCCATTACAATAATGCCCAAACTATATATGTCGGTCTTGAAGGTGATTTCTCCGCTAATTAAGAATTCTGGTGCCATATATCCCCTGCAAAAAAAAATTGGTGTAGTCTGTTCGATTAGGTGAATAATGAGTATGAAAAAAAATTGGCAGACGACTGATAAAAATGTTAAGTTCGCAAAGAGAAAATTGCTAGCCTACATTGTCCCAAGCTTGTGATCAGTAATAGCCCGACTCTTGCTTCCACTTAAGCGCCGTGATAGACCGAAATCCGCAATTCTGGGCACCATGTTATCATCCAATAGTACATTCTGAGGTTTGAGGTCCATGTGAATAATACGCTGTTGGTGAAGATAATGTACGCCCTCACAGATCCCCTTGATTATTTGGTAACGTGTGGTCCACTGAAGTCGACAAGATGCATCTGCGAAGAGTATACAATATAACAAATAGTTAGTACTATATGCGGTGGGATAAGCAGTCCAACAAAACAAAAAAAGGCCTTCGTGAATAATTGCCCAATTTTGAAAGTTAATAAATATGCTAACAAGTTCAAAGGAAGTTCTCGAAACACCCATCTCATTGTCAAAACGTGGGTGTGACAATTGAGATACTCTGAATTGTTTTTGGATGCTCGATTAAGGTCTATCCATAACAGAAAAGGATATTTGTTAGTGTGCTCTTCTCTCTGAGGCAAGAAGGGTGAGAAATCACAATATGCCCAAACCGAAGAGTGCATGTTGTGCAGCGGTATAAGAACAGAGCTGAAAACTACACCCCGTCCCATAATGTAGGACTAGTGTAAAAAAACATCCGACATTACAGGACGGAGGGAGTACCATTTAGTGTGCAAAAGGAACTGTCAAAGCTCAGAAGAGTGGCAAACAATAAATACTCTAGACTGTAGTTGGTAGACATCTGCTACTACTATAGTAGAAATGCAAGGAAAGCTATAAGGCTAATCTGATTTTACCGGAGAGATAGTCAGCAAGGCACCCTTTGGGCATGTACTCGAAGCAGAGCAGCCTATGCCGCACATCAGCCAAGACACACTTCCCGTCGTATGGCATCAGCACTTGCTGCGTCTCAGAGCAGTACCCGAGAAATCTCACGGTATTCTTGTGCTTGACCCCTGCGAGACAGGTGACCTCGCTCTCGAAATTCTTGTCCAAGATATCGTACCTCTCGAAGAGCTGCTTCACCGCAACAGTGCGACCACTTGGAAGCACTCCCTGCATTTCACAGAGAACCGTGTCAGCTAGATTGTCCCTGGCTATTTCATTTCAGGCTTGAGGGTCTGGTTGCTTACCCTGTAAACCACTCCGAACCCGCCCCTGCCAATTTCCTGAGCTTCAGAGAAATTTCCTGTGATGGAGCTGAGCAGCGAGAAAGGCAGATCAACTGGATCCGCAGTTTCATCAAGCAACACTTTCTCCAGAGCAGCAAGTTGGCTGCTTTGGCCGCCATCCGTCATCTTGGTTGTGGAAGTTAGGTGGTGTTATTCTCCTGAAGCATGCATAATTAGTGTTGTTCATTAGCCGTACGTGCAAATAAGAAGAAGCAGCAATATTTGCAGAAAAAAAATTACTAATATATATCTATCTGAAGTTCTGAGCTCTGAAATCGACTTCGATCAAAAAATTCTGAAAGACAGGACGGACATGTTCTCTTGATTATGTATGGCAACAAGAAAAGAGAATCTGTGTGAAAGAAATTACAGAAGTGATATATCTATCTGATGAAGTCTGAAAGAGACGTGGATCAAAAAAGTCTGAAGGAAACGGACGGACCTCTGTTCTCCAATTACTAGTTAACAACCAAAAAAAAAAAAAGAACAGGGGACGATCTATGGAGGATACGGATCTAGCACTAACTAACCAAAGAACAGGGGACGAGTTCCCATCTATCACCACCTTCGTGGCTTACGGTAGGTACCTTTCACTGCCGGAGAAGCGGCGCCGCGGACCAAGGATGTAAAGCGTCAAAGGATGGCTGGGGTCGGGCGGGCCGGAGAAGAACTTGAAGGGAAGGTTGGAGGTGGGTGGAGGCGGCGCCGTCGCCGGAGGAGTACCCTTCTTGACAGGGAGGGAGGGTGGGAGTGGAGAGGCGGAGGGGGCGAGGGGGGAATGGAATGGAGGACGACCAGGCGGAGACTGGAGAAAGAAACCACGCACTACTCCCACTCCACTCTTTGGCCACGCCCCACGCACTACTCCACTACCTTTCCATCGTGCGTGTGAACCAATTGCTTTAAAAAAAATATTTATTCTTCTTCGGGTGCGTCTTATCTTACTAGTACTATTGTCTTCGAGTGCATCCTATCTTTTCATATAGAAGAAGAGAATTGACCGGTTAACAAAGAAAACTGGCCGAAAACTGATACATATGTGGCACACCCACCCCAGCCCTGTGGATGCGCCCCAAGCGAGCCAATGACTTGGTCGCCCAAGCGACCGGAATCAACACCTTACAACATGACCCGGAGCCGCCGCTCCAACATACAAACCTCAAACAATGCACACACCGACCTTGAGAGCCGCGTCCCAAACGAGCCGACGACTCTGTCACCCTGATGACCAAAAACGAAAAACGCTCTCCGAAGCCGCAGCTCCGACTTCCACTCCGACCCCAAGGCCGCGAACCCGACGAGCCAACAACTCTACCACCTAGATGACCAGACTTGACACTCCACAAAGCAAAAACGCTATCCGGAACCGCCGCCCCGGCCTCCAAACCGGCCCCGAGGCTGCGAACCCGCCTGGCCGGTGGCGAAGATGTCGGGCGATGCCAACCCTCGACGCAAGGCATAGGAATGGACCTCCAAAGTGACGCCCCCAAGAAGGATGCGACGTGAACGCCGCCGCCTCCCGCTTCAGCCAAAGCCGAAGCATTGGTTTTCACCCAGAAACCACTAGATCCAAATGCCTAAAGGAGGTGAAGGGGCTCCACGACGACACCTCTAACAAGGGGAACGACATCCTAGAACGCCGTCGTCGCTAGCAATTACCAAGGTCACTGCTAGGCATTCACCTGGAGTTCACCATGCCTAGAGACATTGCATCAAGTCCGTCCATCTGCCTGAACCAAGAAAGTCGCATGCCCCAAGCAAATCGCCGCCGCCAACCACCACCACCACACGCTGCTCTACGGAGCCATCGCTGTCGGGATTATGGCAGCCCAAAGGATAATTACCAACACTGTAAAACCAGCCATAATCCCGGTTTCCTAAAAAAACATAGTCCTGTTTGGACTTGATTGATTTCTTTTTCTTTTTCAAAGCAAAGTCCATACGAAAACTAGAAGAAGAGGATATATACAACATGAAATAGCCCACTTGCGCTTTCGAATAGTCACGTGTGACCTCTGTTGATGAAAGGGAGGAGACAGCTCGTGCGCTTCAAGAGAGGCCGTTGAGAGTCGAGAGAGAGCCGCATCTTCCAGCTCGATCCACTATCTTCTCAGACGGCTGGAGCAGAAAAGGGAGAGGTGCTCGGTGTAGTTCTGTGCATAGAGCATCTAGTTTTAGGTTGTCTTCTGCCCATTTGGCGTCTAGTGATATGTCGATGTGGAGGATGCCACAGGCGCAAGCGAGCAGTGGTTGGTGGCTTTCGGTGGTGGCGATCCTGGCGGTGCTGGCTGATGGTCAGCTGCCGCTATAGAACACAAAGCCGGTGCCTCCACAAATAAGCTCCCTGGTTCTGTCCTACGGAGCACTCTCTCAAGCTTCCAAGGTCACCATAGTGGTTGAATTGAAGCAGAGAGGAGATGGTGATCTTGATCGGGTTTGTGATCATCCTCGGTGGCTGATTGGGACTGGTTATAGCGCTAGCCAAGGTGCTTGGTTATGGGCTGACTCCATGTCGCCGCCTTACATGTAGGTTGAAGAGCGGCCTTCTTATTTCTTCCTCTCGACCAAAGAGCCTGAAGGGAGGCAACTCATCTAGTCATCTTCTTCATGCGTCTATGACGTGGTTCCATGGAAGCTTCTCCGTCCCAAGAGGCGATGTCCCTAACGACGACGTGGC